AAAAATGCGAATAAAATTAAATGTGTTCCATGGCTTTATACCGTAGCTTTAAAAGAAGAATTCAAAGTGATTTTGTCAATACCTTAAATTTAAATGGCAAGTGGCTTATCGTTGTTATTTTCAAATTCTAGAGGTGGTGAGGTTGTAACGGTCACTCGTTATGAGTAGCAGTCAGGCAATATTTTATTTACTATATACCAAAATATTGTCAAAAACAAGTTCTTCGGCGTTTTAAAGTATTATCTGTTACATACATTCATAATTTTGCTTTGAATAAAAATGTACTGAAAAGTACTGACCCACCATGCAAAACATGAAAAATAGGCAACAATCGTCAATGGCAACAAATTGGCGACTCACCGATTTATTGCTGTGGTGACAAATCGGCAACACCACTTCGTTCATGTCAATTTTGAATAAAAAAAGTTCTCAAAAATTCGGAAACTTATGAATATGGCGTCAATAGCATTGGCCAAAAGCATTTAAATTATGTCCAAGGACAAGATTGAAAAAATAGGAAGTCTCACAGCGAGAAAATTAATTAATTCCGATTGTAAGTTGCAATTTGGTATACAAAAAAATAAATGAAGTATTAAGAAGAATAAAATTATTCCAAATATCGCCTAAAGCGATAAGAAAAGGACTCATTCAGGTAATAAGAAAACGACTCACCCAGGCGAGTTGCCTTCGGCGGACGTTTTAGAGCGACCGGTAATAGGAAATCGATTCGATGGCAATATTACCGGCAATAAATTTGTTTCCGAGGGCGACACGTTTTCTTATTGCCGGCAACACAAATTGTTTGGTGGGGAGTTTTTAAGCAGGGAAAAGTCGAACGTACTGATTTTGCGCATAAAAAATCTGGCAACCCTAATCATTGATAGGATAAAAACACTTGAACTGATTTTAAAAATTTACTCACTTTTTCTAAGTCAAACAAAACCCTAGATTTGAAAATGTTTTGCATTTCGACGCTCCATGTGCCGCCAAAATTGGAGAACCATCTTAATGTAATTACACACGATTGTTTTCGATTATTTTTAATTGTGAGGAAATTAATAACAGCAAAAACAATTACATATGAATTGCTATTAAAGTGATTTGTCTGTCCGATTTGTTTGACGATGGACAGAACTGGAATTTTTCATTGTGTCGATAATCCAAATGGAATTAAAATGAATTTCATACACATTGCAAGGATTGCATTGTCGAGGCGGCTAGCATGGATGACACGGGGCAGGGCAGAGTACAAGGTGGTGTGTTGACAAGTATTTTGTTCCATTCGTTCCATTTCAATTAACGCGCCATCGAGTGAGCCCCCTGAGCCCAAAAGCTGGGCGCAAAGTCGAGTGAAAGATGGCAAAAAGGCAGCAAGCAGCGACTGCGGAAGTTCAACGCAACTTAAAGTCAACAACGAACGAACCAATGATTGGACAGATCGATGAACGATGAACGATGAACGATGAACGGATCATTGGATGGTTGGATGAGTTCTTTGTTTTCCCACTATGCCAATGACACTGACTGTGAAATCCACGAACACTTCAAATGACATTAAGCGTAGCTGTTAGATTGGCTTATGCATCTACTGAGGCGGAAAAATAAATTTAACCATACCTAGATGTGTATGTATGTAAGTACATATGTATGTACATCTGTAATGTTAGTATGTAGCTAAATTGGTCATCATTTTTTATTAACACATTTGTCAACAGTTGACCGCATGACACGCCAGTGGAAAAAGGCTTTGCCCGCTTGGGTGCGCTTGGGAGCTCGAATATGTATGCGAAGAATTGTTTTTCCATATGTTTGCAGTGGCTCTTTATGTTTTCAACAGTTGTTAATTCACAACAGGAACTTACGTACAACCAACCATACACAATTCCCAGTTCGCATTCGTCACCAAATAAAATACATATTTATGTGCATACATATATGCTTGTAATTTAAATAATTACTAATTAAAAGTCTCATCGGCGACATGTTGGGTGTCAGAGCATTTGTTAGCACATGGGTTGAGGGGTTGACTCCCTTATTCCTGCAGAGTATATAATGTAGGAAAATCTTCAAGCTTTACATGGCTCAATTCATGTTTGGCTGACGTACTTTTAATATGTAATACGCGCATATGGTTCTTTAATTCTTAGTATGCCAGACGTACAACTTTACTTTGCATTTTCGTTGAAGGAGACATTAGGTCCATTCAATAACTTTTCCAGTAAGTACTTGCAGCGAGAACATAAAAGAAAAATAGAGAGTGAGAGAAAATTTTCAGAGAAAGTTATTGAACGCAAAACTAATAAAAACTTGCAACTTAAGCCATTTTGACACTTTCTGACGGTTAAGTTTTGGCGCGGAAATTTCTTTTTAATTGGGAATAGTTCCCATCGTCATTAAAATTAAAAAATATACAATAGTTTTAAATATTTCATCCATATTTTCATTTCACTAATTATGTTTCATCAAATCATCCTCTTAAACAGTTTGTTTACATTTGAATTTGAAACATAACCTTACTTTTTGACTCCTGCAAATTCCCGCTAGTAAAATTTTTACTTGCAAGAATTTGCAGCTCTCTCGGGTTGTTACCCTCTCGAATTCGCTCTCTCTTGCAAATATTGGGTTATTGAATGCATTTCCAGTAAAAATTTGCAAGTACTAGTAACAATTCGTAACAGGATGGAAGAGAAAGGTAGGATGCGCGTCATTCAAAGATGAATTAAGATGTGTTGGTATTTGAAAAAAAAAATTGGGACACGAATGATTTTTTTTTACAGAAATAAAAACAGTGTGAAAATACCTTTCTACTGAGGTCCCATAAGTCTAAATCAGAATAGTTTTAGCCCAGTTATTCAAGTTTTTCGTAAATCAAACTTAGAAAAAAGTAAAAAAACAGCATCAAAAATGTCATTCTTACGATTCCGTTGAAAAGATTTTTAAATATTTTTATGCAGATTTTTTAAGCTTAATCTGTTGTGTCATCTGAGGGGACTTTAATGTTCTTTACGAAACTATTTTTATTCATAAAAAACTTCATTTTTTGAGGTCCCTGTAGGGAAAACACGAACTAGTGAACAGTACTAGTTCTTTTTCGCCAAAAACGAAAAAGTCCGATAGTAACTAGTCCCGCACCAGTCCAAAAGCAGTGAACTCAACAAACTATCAACTTTTTTCCCACAATTTTATAAAAAATTGCGGATTTAACAATTTTTACCGCAGCTTTTTGTTTAGATATTTTGGGCATTGTATGGGTTCGGAAAGAAAACTGAAAATATAGAAATACGATTTTTTTACTTCAGTACAGTTTTCCACAATTTTTCAGAAAATATTTTAATATCATTCAACATTTGAAAATAATGTTTTCTTTCTAATAGTTAACTAGATATGAGATGCATACATATAAAAATCCATGAAAAACTGGTGAAGATTCAAAATTGTGTATATCTACATCAGTTTCTCATTGAATTTCCTTAATTTTAGGTAAATAACATTAATATTTTGTTGGACCTACGAGTATGGGATTAGGGATTTCAGTGGCAAAAATACATCGATGCTTTTTTTTGATTCGATGCATCGAAATGTACACCGATATTTTTTGATGCATCGAAGTGTATACATCGATGCCTCAATTTGCATAGGATTTTTCAGATAATGTTCCACAACAAAATATGTTATTAGCAAAATTGTAGAAAATTTTAAATAAATTACTGCAACTGAGTTATGTTTTAACGGGACTTCTTGCAGCCATTTACATTTTTTGGCTAAATCACTTCTCTTTTTTAAACAATTGAAAAACTGTAATGACGGTTCAATGTACCGGAGATGGCAGTTTTCAAAAAAAACATCGACACATCGATGCATCGATACATCGACTATTTATACATCGAGTGGAGGATTCTATTACATACTTTTGGCTTTTCCCAGCAGCGATTTGAACTGCTTATTGTTTAACTAGCGCTTTGTATCAGAGTTCCATTATTTTGCTGCAGATGCGTTCAGTTGCCTATATATTTTAATCCATAAATATATGTTTGTATGTATGTGTGAGCGTGTGCTTGTGCGTATCAACACTACTAAACGTGTGTATGTAGCCTTAGCCAGACAATTGGCCAATGAATATGTGTGTGCATATAAATAATAAATCACTAGGCGTCCAAGATGGCCTTGATTTTGGTATATTTTACTACTAAAAGTCTGATTTCTTGGAAGTCTTAATTTGCAAATATGGATATCTACATACATACATACATACATACACATGTATGTAGTATATGCTGGCAAAGTAGTATAGGATACTTATCAATTCTTTGTGCATTCGAATATTATTTATGCCAGGGATCGCCGCGGCGATGGGATGTGCCAAAACAAATTACGTTTGATTTGGATTTGACTGTATTTAATGAATTGTTGGAATTATGCAAAATAGCTCAGTTGTGTTGTGCTTTTGGCGAAGCGTGTCGTTTTCATTTGAAATGTAAAAGCTGATAAATGTCATTAAGGTTTGGTTTGGAATGTGTAGATACCTACATATGTATGTATGTATGTATGTACACAGGAGCATATCGCGCGAAAGGTTCGGTACAGCTCATAGATCATTATAAGTACACTTAGGTCTCTTTTTATGCGGTACATGCGTTCCTCAGAGAGCCGTATAAAAAAATCCGCATAAAAGAGTTCTTTACTTTCATACAACTGATGCGCTCCAGCATTTTTAAAAACCGCATGAGTTCAGATACTCCATGTAAAAAATTCTAAAACACCGCAGAAAAAATTCAGTGAGGCAATATTAGGCAAAAACTTAACATTAAATAAAATTTGATCTGTATTTTACCCAAAAACAAAACAAAAATACCACAATAAATACATGCATTATGTAAGAATACAAAAAAAAATTATTTATCAGAAGCATTGTCTCTTACACACTGAAAAAAGTAATAAAAACTCTCAAAAAAGCAGAATCGCTACCTCATCACTGTAACCTTCCAAATTTTGTTTTGCAGGTCCACAGCTGTTATCGCCTTATTATTGATATTCGCAGAAATATAAATTAATCTCAACTTCGGCTACTGACTGCAGCACGTATTGAAGAATTCACACAACAAAATGACCCAAATTCTGGATTGGGCAGTCATAGCAGCGGTACTCCTTATTTCCTGCATTATAAATACTCATGCGAAAGTGAGTATAGAACAGAAGAACCCGGTAGCCACCCACCAGACGCATTTAGCGACAATGCAGAGCATTCACAAACAGCCCGCACATCATCATGGCCACCACCACAAGGTACAAATAGTGACCGAACAACAACAACAAAGACTGCAGCAAATGCCACAACTACAACGTCGACAGCGTCGTCTTGGCACATTCACCAAGGCTGATACTACCTCGGATGTTGAATCGATATATAACAGAACTAGAAGCAGCCTGATCGCCAATTCACCAGCATTGCTGCAAAAGGCGACGCGACTCCGCCGTTTGAGCGCGCGGGATTATTACAACAACAACAACAACAACAACAACAACAACGCAGTGCAGCGTCGTCTCCACAACCATCGCGGGAAATCGGAGTGGAAATACCATGTCTACAATGTTCATAGCAACACATATGAATCGCCGACAGGTATGTCTGGTCCGGGCGCCGTGACGATAGCTGGCGGCAGTGGCAAGGGGGACGACAACACCAACGACGTGGAGTTTATCAGTCAATCGGGAACAACAGGAGGGGTCAGTCCGGATTGGGTTAGCAATCGACGCGGCCTTGGGTTTATGCCGCCACACACAACCACTGCGCCGTCGACACATGCCCCTCCACCCTTAGTGCCGCCTCGACGCGGCTATGTCACAGCTGCGTCGCCTAGTCAAAGCGCTGCTGATCTGCCACACACCACAGATGCACCGAAAGTAAGGAATAGCGTCGATGTGAAGGAAATGGAAAAGTAAGTTTACAAATGAATTCATATACACACATACCTATGTATTTTATGTTTATATGTATGTATTGTGTGTAGTTATTAAAAGTTTTAATCTTAAATTATAATAAATGTAGTACGGCAACTAACTAAGCAGATCCCTAGATCCCTAATTTTAACCATAATGCCTCACAGTGTTTAATTTTTACCTAAAAGTGTAATTCAGTCCACCAACCAGCGACAAACGGTAAATAAAAGTAGGTACATACATTTGTTTTCACCTCAAAACAAGCTACCCTAAAGCACATAAATATGGGAGTTTCCATAAAAATGCAAACCGAAAATGCAACTAAATGAGTAAAATTCGTATTCAGATGACGAAAAACCCGAAACGGTGGAAAGAACTGAAAAAAAAATGA